GACGATGTCAAAGGCCTTACAGAAGTCCAGATAGATGACATCCGTAGCTCTTCCCTCGTCCACTGATGTAGTTACTCCATCATAGAAGGCCACTAGGTTGGTCAGGCAGTCGGGGTCCATCAGGGAAACTCCCTGCTGCAGGAGATTGCTACAGGCTAGCAAAAAGGCTGGCATATTAAGCTCGTTAATTAATGATGGTAAACAATGCTTGCAACGAGAGCTGGGTTTGTGCCAAGGGCCTCACCAGCAGCTGCACTGGGTCCCAGACGGGCGATGGGGATCCCCCACCCCAGCACCGCTGCTGCTATATGGGGCAAACTTGGCAAAGTTTGGCTGCGAGGGCCCAGCTCTCTGCTGTGGGTCAGGGAAGGAGCCGGCAGAGTGACACCGCTGATTTACGCAGCAGTCTTGTCCCCTAAAGCATCAGAGGGGTCAAGTCTCTATAGAAACCCCACCAAAACAGGAACACACACAGCCCATTCCCTGGCCGGGAACCACACTGCTGAGCCCTCCATGTCTGGGAAAAGAGTGCGTGCTGCTGGGATCACTGCCGGGACAGGGAAAACCAATGGCTCCCACGCCCGCTGCTGTGCCAGCTGCCCAAGCCTGGGTGTTGCCACTGCGGCCGAACGCTCCCCGCAGGCACGATGCACGGGCAGAGCCAGCGTTCTTGTTCTGCAGTGCCCGCTGCGTTTCCTAGCCATGCCTGGGCAAGGAGCAAGGCTGAGGGCTGTGGCCAGCACCCACCCACCCCTCTGCACACGGTGATGGAGCAGCTCCAGGCCTGAGGCTGCTACAAGGATGCAAGACATTGCAGGGGGCACCAGGTCCCTGTTTTCCCCAGCAAACGGGGCTGGCAGGGTGCCTGCGTCCCTGGCAGGGCACAGCCAGCGGGCAGCCCGACCGGGCTCTTGCAAGAACCTGCCAGAGGGGACAGGCCAGAGCAGTGTTTCCCAGAGCCGGTGTTTGCCTTGGCAGCCCCAGCCCCTGTGCCTTGCTTTCCAGACACCGATCTCCTAGGGGGAATAGCTGGATGTCTAAAACCAGGCATGGCAGCAGGGCTGGTATCTGGCCAGGGCCATGGCAGCTCCCAGGGGCTGGGGGGGGGGGGGGGGGGGGTGGACCATGCCCCCCCATTGCATTCCCGCCCCGCTGCCCCCCACACTGGGCTTTCCCACCGGCAGCCCTGCTCAGGTGCTGAGCCGGCTCAGCAAGCCCAGGCTCAGGGGAACAGTGTTACCTGCTACGCAACATCCCTCCATTAGATTTCCACCCTGCAAAGTCAGGGAGGATCCCACCCCACCCCATCCGATCCCATCCCATCCCAGCTGCAGGGCCAGCACAGCCTCCTACAAGCCCGTCCTGCTCACAGCCCACAAAGCGGCCGTGGCTTGTGCTGCACTGAGAGCAGCTCTGGCCTGGGCAGCTCGGGCTCAGCTGGGGCTACGGCTGCTCTGTCTTGCCCCAGGAGGAGCCAGCTGGGGCAGGACCATAGCAGCAGGGTCCCCACACTGTCCCGGGATGGGAGGGATGCTGCGCGGCGCACACAGCTTCCCCCACCTCCGCCCAGAGCTGAGCCGCACAACACATCTCTCAAAACCTTTATTGTCAGCAAATAACAAACATCAGCCCCGCGGCGGCACAGGGAGCCTGGAGAGAGCGGGGTGCTGGCACCCCAGGGCTCACCGCCCCGGCCGGTCCCCTGCACTGGCCCCGTCCCCG